GGAGAAGAAACTCGGTTGACCTGAAGAAGAAGGATTTCTACCTCACTTTATGGACAAAAATCATGGAAGCTTGTTGAAAAGAAAGAGGACGAGACTACGAGCGTCTGGTTCAAACGGCGACTGATTTGGAGTCCGGACGAGGGAGAAACGAAGCTTTGAACAGGAGCGGAGGAAGAATTACGGGCAGGAGAATTACGACCGTAATTTGGCCTCCCATGCCCGTAATTTCACTGCCGAGAGGAGCTTTGGGTGCGCTGAAACTAACCAAAACGCGTGTTTTGGGCAAAATACGGGCATGGAAGAATTACGACCGTAATTCAGCCCGTAATTCGCCCAGAATCGGGTTTTTGAGGCAGATTCGAGCCAAAGGAAAGGGAGAGCTGGGTTTTGGTTCCCAAACACCCAAGGGACGAACCCTAGAGAGAGAGAGCGACTTGGGAACATTCTTGGAGCTTTTGGAGGATTTCTTCGCCATTGGAGCTCGGGAATCAAGCTTGGAGATGGAGATTGAAGATCTAGATCAGATTTCTGCAGTCTCTCTCTTATCTATGGAGTAATTCCCTTCACTTAGGTTTTGAGGAACCCTAGTTCCATGTGTTAGGATCTTTCTTGTATGAAGTTTTGGATGCTATATTGTTTGATTATAATCGATTGAGGCATGATTTATTGAGTCAATTGAATCTTGATCAAATTCTCTTGATTTCTGCTTTAACCTATGATAGAAGAATCTGATTAGGTTAAGAGAGCTTCCTTGATTGATAGTGGTGAATTGGTTGTGCGAGAGTCAATCAATTCACTGCTTCGTACTGGAATTCATTCCAGTAGTGGAGATCTGTGAATCACCTTAGCAGTCTATCCTGAAGGCTAGTCGCTGCCGGGTATTGTCTGAGAGGGCTTGGTCAGCTTAAGAGATTCCAAGCTAATTTAGGATCTTCCGCAGTTTAATCAACAATAGATCAACCAAAGGTAATTGCAACTTGGACCTAATTGAGGAACTAGGGGAATCATACCTAAGTGAGTTCCAAACTTGTAATTAGTAGAGTAGTCAGTAGAGTAGTTTATAAATCAATCCTTAATCTAGTTTGCTAGATAATGAACTGAAGCTGAGTAATAGTAACTCTAGAGACCCGTGGATTCGATATTTATTACTTGTGCCACTATACTGCAGTCCCTTTCATTGGTTACACTTGGCCATTGTTAGGTGTTGTGTTTTAGCGTGTCACAAGCCAACTAAGTTGACACTTTTGAAGACACCCAAACAAAGACACTCTTCCCAATTAGTTCACCCAGAATAACCACTGTGAATCAAGCTACTGAAGAGAACTACAAACGGACTCAAGATAGACTAAGAATTCTCCTAACTCTCTCTCTCTCTCGCTATCACAGTCGCGTTTTAATTTAACAGACAACAATCTATTTATACCTAGAAATCTTCTTTGACCGTTGCGCGAGATTTGTGCCTGACTGATCTTCATCATTTCTTAGTGGATTGTCGGTGATGTCTGTGCTTCATCACCGACGAACTGATTTGAGCTTTCCTTCCGCTCCTCGTAGGTGGGAGGCTAGGGTTGAGTGAATCGATCTCTTTTGTTCAGAGCGAAAGACTTAGAAGGACGATGCTGAACAGAGACGTTTGAAGTCCAAGACGTCGTCGTGTGGAGTTTAGACGCAGCGAGTCCGAGACGTCGTCGTGTGGCTCTGGGACAGAAACGTCGTCGTTCTGGAAGATGTAAATCGCGTTTTTTTCATCAATTTCCCCCTTCGTCCGAGAAGTCTGGAGTTTACCTGAAAATAAACACAACAAAAGAAAGCCAGCAGAAAGCACAGGGATCCGAACTACTATTTCTTGATAAATAAAAGAGAGTTACAAGATAGCAGCAACTAGAACTAAAAAGGACCCAACTCCTTTTAAATGAAAACTTCCCCCTAAACTACTGCAACTACTAGAGACTAACTAAGACTACCTACAAAGGAAAACAATTATCTAAAACTTCCCCCTAAGAACTAGCAGAAGATTTTAAGAAGCGGGAGAGGATGGTCCTTCTTGTGCTGGCCCTGCAGAGTCGTCTGAGGAGGAGTTTCCATCAGAGACTGTAAACACCAGATTAGCATTATTGCTTGATTCTCCAGCAACTGATTTTCCCTTGTTAGAGGTGACAGGTTTTGGGTGGGGACCCAGAAGGGAAGCAGATGGAAGTGGAGGTGGAGATGGAGAAATATCAGTGGGTAGGTCTAGGATCATCAAAACGTTGAGAGCTCCAACGTACATAGTGAGACACACTTCTGTAATCTGAAAGATCAATTCCCAGATTAACCAACATTCGAGTAATGATAGACCCGAATGGAAGAAGTCCTTGGTAATGTTCATCCCCAACTGGAAGGAGTTTGCAAACAGTAGGCTCGAAAAGTTCAACTTGCGTCCTGCCGTTGCACTAGCAATGATCCATAGATCAAGTGGCAGGACAACATCAAGGTTATATGTTCTAGGAAAGAACACATGTGTGATGAAATGGTGGAAGATCCTCAACGTGGAGTCAGCCATCCAATTGGAATCGGCACATCAGTTCCTCCGGTTGGCTCCTGGAGAAGTTTGCATACTCAGTGGGGAGGATGAAGTCATGCTTCCAGAACTTCGAGGGATGAGCAATGTCTAATCCTTGATCAGGAAATCCAAGGATTCCATTTAGGGCTGCTACAGGAATGGTTTAGAAGATGGCCATAGATGACCGTTGAGAAACTTCTGGTACTGATTCCTTGACACCTCAGATTCGAGTAGAAATATTTGACTGCACCAGGACAGGCTGGATGGAGGGGTTGACGCAGTAGATAATCCCATCCGAGAGCCTCAATGAGGGATATGATATCGTATTTGTAGAGGTTAAACTCATATGGGTCGAGTTGAATGATGTGGTGCAGCCTCCTATTCTCGAAATGTTGAAGGTGACGATGATGATTGATCACCACGGGTTCATGAAACATGTACCCGGGATAAGTGTGCACTAACCCTTCAAATTGGAAAGGTCGGGGCAGGTGATCACTCATCTTGGAGATTTGATTTTTTCTGGCAGAGAGATTTTGGTGGGTTTGCTTAAGGTTTGATGAAGATAGGTGAGGAACAGTGACCTCAGGAGAGTGGTTTATATAGAGTATGAGAGCAGAAGGCAGCAGGGAAGTCGAAGAGTTTTTCTCCAATATCGAAGCAGAATGATTAGAGAAAGAAATCCAGGTTTATACGCATGCTCTGAAAGTAGTTTTATTTTGTAAACCAAGATAGTAAAATTACTAGAGTAAACCACATCCATAAACGTTTTTGCTTTTAGAAACTAGATTTAGCTAGAATAGAGACTTAATCCTAATCCTAATGTCCTAGAAATTGTCATATCCAATCGGCTTCCAGCCCTTTTCAGAAACTAGATTTGGCTAAAAGATCTCAGTCCTAATTCAGTACAGAGATTTTGAAGCGATCACTAGCAGAGGCTTTGTGAATAGGTCGGCTAGATGATGCTCAGTGGGTATAAACTGTAAGCTTATATGACCTGCTTGCACCAGATCTCGTATGTAATGAATTTGATTTCAATGTGCTTAGTCCTAGAATGTTGTACAGGGTTTTTTGTCATAGATATTGCACTTGTGTTGTCACACCAGACAGGGATACTTTCTAACTTAAATCCATAATCAGCTAGCTGTGTTTTTATCCACATTATTTGGGTACAACACTTCCAGCTGCGAGATATTCAGCTTCAGCGGTTGATAATGCTACAGCTCCCTGCTTCTTACTAAACCAAGACACAAGAGCTGGCCCTAAGAATTGCACACTTCCTGAAGTGCTTTTCCTATCTACTAAACTTCCACCGAAATCAGATCACTA